ATGTTAGTGCGATTGCTTTCACATGCATACGTATCCACAGATTAACTAATATTGCATATGCCTGTGTGTTTAATAGGTAGTAAGTGAAAGCGTGCCGTATGTGTCAGTAGCTCCCAGTCAATTGTGTGTGCAATTTTATGGGAACTTCAAATGTCACATTTATATTCATCACAGCGAACTTTCACATCGACGCCTAGATCTGCCAGCAATGACGATTTTGTAAAAAAAAGTGGTCTGTAATTGTATAAATAGTTATATCAATACGTTCTCATATATTCATCATTAACCAATTTAACGCACATAGTGGTAGAGTGCAAACATACTTTTCTGTCGGAGAATCCCAAGCAGCGCGATCGCGCTGTTTAGATTTTATGTCGAAAAAACCCAGCACATTTCGAGCATTGTCGACAACTGAAGGTGCCTTACGTATTGTCGAAATCGAGCGCAATACAATTACAATAGTACTATAGCAGTGCAATAATATATTACAAAATAAAAATTTCTATTTTGGTGTTGTGTTTTCTATAATTTTTGTGGCACAAACTTGAAATATTTATTAACAAATAATTTAAATGCATTTAAATACATAAAATTAAACAAGCGCTATGGCGTCGCTTGGCATTGATGTAGAGTTCTAATTAGTTTTCAATACAGAGAAAGTGTCTACAAGGAAAAAGACGTCGACAGAGCAAGTAAAACACTCAATAATTCCGTATTGAAGATATAGACTTTTCTGGAAATCACAAACAGAATTGCTTTACTTTAGAGATTAAGTTTTTATATATAATTGAAAAGAAAATTTTATGTTTTTTCAAAAGGCGGAGTCTGGATTGTCATTAATTCTGGATCTTGTCGTGGGGATAAGTTCTATCGCCCAGAGCTAATAATCGTTTTGTTCAATGGGCTTGTAATTTTAAAAAGGAGACACCTCTTTAGCTACTGCATATTTGAAGTTCTTTGATATCATTAGTAGAGGTATCGGCGGCCAAACGTGTTACGTTATTTCTTAATCTCTTTTTTCTCTCCTTACTTCTAACTTATAAAAATTTATGTAAAACGGCAACAGAAGATTGTCACAGTTGCGTATTACAACGGGAAAGATAATAAGAGGTAAGAATAATCGGAATGTAGCAAAATTAAAAAGTAATCGTATAAATGACATGCATTCTATTTGGTTCGATAAATATCGAACGGGAAATATCGGGATAAATTGTCTATCCTAATGTGGAACATATAGAGAGGTTTTTTGTTGAAGTCTCGAGGAATACTAAAGCAGAGGCACTCGGGAAACTTGAAAGTGTTTCGTCAACGACATCTTGTACAAATTCTATTAGTGCGATCACTTTTATGTACAGACGATCAGGTGCACATCAGAAAACTATTAGGTCATATTGAAAATTCTCCGCGTTTCTTTCCGCGGGATGGTGTTGACGTTTATATGTAGGGCGACACTCATCGGATCATATCAAACGAACATGTGCTTAAAAGGTAAAATTTTTTATGAAGATAATTTTCTAATTTCTTGCTTGTAGACAAGTTATATTGATTTGAAAATGAGTGGAACATCTGAAAAAATACGTCACGCTTTTTCATTATAAAAGAAGTTTGTGAGGTGAACGGTGAGAATGCTGTGAGTGAACGAAGAAACCAAGAGTTGTTTGCCCGATTCCCTTCAAAGATGCACCTTGCAGTCACTAAAAAAGTCAACCACATGACAGTTTGGAATAATTTAAAATGAGCAGATTACAAGAAGAAGCTCGATACCGCAGGGACTTTCCAATGTAAACCGCTACGTATCATGACTTATGCCATCCACGGAAGCTAGTGTTAATAGGAAGGAGTAACGTCTCGTTTTCTAGGCGGGTTTTACCATACAGCACATTTCCGCATCTTCGCCCATGTGGTTTTCGTTTTGAATATCTCAGTTTTTCTACCACTATTCCCAGTGATAGTTTTCTTTGTTTGGAGCAACTCATAAAATATACTTAACTGCCTCTATATCGGGAAGCTAAGATTATTCTGAAGGCAGTTTACTGGTTTTAATCATGCTTTTAATTCCAGTACACAATCGTTTTTATTTTCTTTCATTGAAACCTACACACCTACGCAAGATAACTGATATAGTTATGTAAATCTTAAATATACTGCCTTCGCATGGACAAATCACAGTTTGACTTACGGAAAAAGTAAAGTGACCTTTTAGAGAAGGCAAAAAGAAACACTTCAGTTAAGAATTTCCTTGTTTCCAGTTTAGAGTCTAGAGAAAAATAAATACTGCATTCATTATGAAAATATGTTCGTTAAACAGAAATGAAAATATAAATAATGATTCCGCCAAATTGTATGCTCAATGGCGCGGATGTTAAGTTAAATGACTACCTGAATTCGGTTGGTAGGAAGGCGAGTGTGGATTCACTCGCAACAACTGTGTCAGATCAAGTGGAGATGTCCAACATACCTCTGCGCTGATTTCTAAAATTATATCTAGCTCTAATTCCAAGATGATACTAGATGGCGTCGCCGGGGATTTGTCGTAAGTCCTTCATATAAACCGGTTTTTGTGTCGTGATTAGACACGAATGTGGGAACTGAGATGATGATGAATTACATACATCGAACAGTATCGGAAACTGAGGCTTCAGCTACAAGTGCATTTATGTTGAACGTTGTGCTGGGAGAAGACATGTCATCATTCAAGTTTCAGTGGCCACCTGACTTATTTGAGCAGTTGGTAAAGAAGCAATTCTGGCCGGATGGTGTACTGGTAAAAGGGTTTATTTATAGGAATACGAATCAACTTGGAATGGAATGGAAATAAACCGTGTGCTGACTCTGTATCCGTTTAGTTTTGGAATATTTTATCAATACGTAGGGGGTTTTGGGAAAAAGCTTTGCGGCTGGTATTTTAATTTTTCTGTGAATTTCAGCTGATTGCGTTCACTGAAACATGATTGAAATCGGAGGAAAATAGTTTGAAAATTTTCTGTCCAAAATATCAAGTATATTGACGTGATAAGTATGATAGGTTTTAATTGCAGTGCGTTCCGCAATTCTGGCAAGATTGATCTCACTTTCTAATTTAGATAGTGTGGAATTTATGCACGCCGGCGTACTCACACCACCTCACTTCCATTCGGCAAGTGCTTGATTCTATGGGATCGAGCGATGTTTTTGTCATGATGATAGATTTTAATATGCCGAGTATAGAGCGTAAATTTGGTCAGAAAGGGGGGTTTTATGTTCCGTATTATGCATCGGTTCGTTATAACTAATTAGTTGAAAATATATATGTATGTGTTGACCTTGATCTTATTGAATAAGGTAACAAATTTTTGGATTTAGTATTTTCAAACACAATAGACCTATCAATAAGTTGTATTAGTCCCTTTTTCCAGCAGGAAGATGGTTTTCAGCCGAAGGTTTGTATTTCTTTCGATGTCAAGTCGTACGAATGAGTGAACCTGATATCAAGGAACAAGAATATATTTTTTTTAAAACATAGTACGAAACACTGTACACCCATTAAATGTGATAAAGCGGGACTCTTGCAATAATGATCTTGATAACCGCTTGAGGTTCTTTTATGATACGTTAAAATCTACATTTCTGTGCTATGTGCCGTCAAATCCGGTTGGAAATACGTCTAGGTACTTTCCATGGTGGACGAAGAAATTTAAAGGCTCTTTAAAAAGTTCAGAAAAGGCGGTTGTGCTATAGTTTTTGCTTCTTACATGTTCGCTTATGTTTTCGGAGATTCTTAACTGATAGTAATGGATGTTACTCAAACTAATTGCAGAAGGTAAGCTTGAATTTTAAAAGGAATGCTAAATTGTCTGGTGAACTCTCGAAAAAGGGCTTGTGGATTGCAATCCATATATATATCTTGACGGTACTGGAGAATATAAGTCGCAAAATATTTCTAAACGGATATAGTTAGCTATCCCTACCGTGTTGAGAATTACGATATTTTCTCTAATATAAGAATATCGCATTCTGACGTTTTTAACTGTTAGGGTTAAAATATTTCTGCCTCTTCGGTTCGGATGGAATTTCCTTGAGTATTTTCGTAAATTGTGCGAAAATGTTAGTAAAACCAAATAGGGATTTGTTAAATTTGTCTCTAACTAGTGGGATTTTTTCTGATATCTGGAAATTTAATTATATTCTACTGTTACATAAGCCGTAGGTAATCTAGAGAGGACTACGGAAGTATTACGAAACTCTCCTTTATAGTAACAGTTTTTGAAAATCTTACAACATATACATAAAATCAGTAGTCTCACCACATCAGCATGATTTTCTCAAGGACAAATTCGCTGTTACCAATCTCTTAGAATTCGCTTGTTATATCTTAATTTTTATATTTATTATTTAAAAACAGCGTCCGGACAGATCTTATTTATACGGATTTTAGTAAGTAAGTTGGTTGGTCATGGCCCACGCAATTTTAAGGTAGAAAAATTGTTTGAGTGACCTTGAAAAATCGTTCCGTTCTTGTCTTACGGATCGCGCAAAAAGAGGTTTGGACAATTCGCGAGAATTTATGGATGAAATCCGGAGTAACGCAGGGGAGTTTTATATGTCGCCTTTTGTCTTGTCTGTTTTTAATGATCTCCGCAGTGTAATTCAATATGCGGATGTATTAATGTATGCAAATGGTGGCAAGCCTTTATACTCCTCACACACTTTGAAAGTCACAGTTTCTTTCCGCATTTTATGTAAACAATTTAAAGATGTTTATTATTTGCTTACAGTACACGTTTCCAGCGATTATTTGAAATCGTTTTTAACTTGCGCGATTGGGATTGTTTCTCTATACTGTAAAGCGAATCTGAAATGCTCAAGGTATCAATCTTTGCGTTATAGTTTTCTATTGACCATTTGTATCGTGTTCAATCGTTCATCATAGTGTTAACAACTCTTATTATAGAAGCGCTCTAATATAAAAATATTTACATCAATCTTTTATATTATTTCCGGAAAAAGAATTACAAGCATACCTTTTTGGCTGGCAGAGGGTCAAGCGAAAGTCCATTCTGTAAAAATAAAAAATAATGAAATTACTTAACCCGCCTATTCATTGAAAAAGCAACTTAATTAAAGTTAATGATCTTTTGCTTACTTTTTGTAGCCAATAAAGTTTTTATGATTACTTATTCTCAGAACAAAGTAAAGAACAAGAATGCGGCACGATTATGAACCAGATTAAGTTCTAAAAATTCCATTATATGGTATAGGAGTCACTCATAGATACAGATGCAATTTTAGAATAAGTAGCAGTTCACCCACATATGATGTTACTTATTTTATATAACCTTTTGCTTGTTTATAAGTATCAAATTATTTTTATCCACCCCGCTACGCTATCTTAGCGCGCACAAAGTTTTTGCAGACATTTACTTATTTTAATACTTTAATTTACTCAAACAGCATAAGGTCTGAATTGCCCTCTTGCATACGGACTATATAAAAAGTGTTCCAAAATTTATACACGGTTTGAAATAAATAGACAACAGAGTAATTTTTTTAAGTGTAGGTTTTTTAATGAATTATAGTGCATATAAAATAGGATTATGAGTGAAATAGCAGATCGGGAAAGTGGCTTTCACTGCTTTGCTGGGGCATATGCCCTCTTTTATCGAAATTGTCCAAAAGAAGTTTGAGTAAATATGAATTTCATTGATGCAACGTTCAAACTCCTCCTTCAATGTAAGACTTGTTGTGGGCTTGGTGACGTAGACCTTCGGCTTCAAATAATCCCACAAAAAAAAATTCCGGTGGTGTTAAACCACATTATGTTGTTCCCCGATTTTGATCACTGGAACGAGAGAGCACGCGACAAAGGAATATTTTATGCAATAATTGAATTTTTCCACGGAATGTATGACATGTGCCATCGCCTTTTTGAAACCTCGTGGTCACATCAAAATCGTCCCTTTGAATCCCTAATGCGGCAATTTTGACAATTAACGAAGCCATCAATGCGAAAATCAGCTTCATCAATTAGGATGATTTTGCTCGAATAAATACCATCCAATTGTTTATGTTCAATAATCCATTTAACGAACCCTCTTCGCTATGGATGCTCATTAATGTTTTTGTGTCGAGTGAACGTTATAAGCAGGAAAATACAGATCTTCAGTTAGTGTACGCGACGACGAATTGATGTTCCTCTATTTTCGCTAACATTCTCACGCTTCTCCACTGTTGACGAAATTCAACCAATATTTTGATGCGAAATTTGCGAACTGTGTCCGCCAAATTTTAATTTTTTTTGAAGCACGCGTTGCTCTGTCGTGTAATGCCCCGGTTTTACTTACCATGAGCTGTCAGCTGTCAATTATTCTTTTTTTTTTAGAGTGTGGGGGGTTCGCTAGCAATTTATTGTACAACTTTTAGGGCATCCTTTATGTACGTACATCATACATATTTGAATGAAGTTGAATTCCATAAACATCTTGAATAATCCCATCACACCTGATCTTTCTTAGATTAATATCGTTTCTTTTAGTAATTACGACCGTAAACCATTGAAGCATATTTTCTTATCGTCGTACCTGCTTGAGTTCATCCCAAAAGAGACCCTTTATATGTGCATACAAGCATAGCAGAGAAAGACACACATGGAATAATCGCGTGTATATAGTTTCTCTTCCCTTTGGGGTAGTCTGGTTACTTAGTCTGAAACTTTTCCAAGTTTAATCATAGATTGTTGCTTGTTGTTGTAAGCACACCCATACACGCACTATCATCTTTCCAAGAGCTAGCAGGTCAGTTAGGAACGAGTTCTTTCCCTTGTAATATTCCTTATTATAATAAGTAAACTATAATAATACTATAAAAATAAAGTATAATTACTAAACAATCGAAAGTTTCAATTTATTTCATATACAAATTTCTTGGAACGAAAGCCCGGAAACTGAGATACTCAATCACACCTGTATTTATTGAAAGCGGTCTTGGCGTACTTGTTATGGACACCTTTTTATTTATTGCTAGAATCACAATCTCATTTGTTATATATGTTTCGACAACATGACATGAGCACCACATGTTGGCCTTTAATCGATCTTAACTTAGCAAAGATAGGAAGAGGAACGTGACCGCAGCTTCCTCAAGATGTTATGAATACGCGTTATCGTAAAATTAACAGGATCTTCAGCGCCCTAGTGAAAATTGAGCACGAAGCCAAGATTGCAGACTGCACTAATAATCTCAATCTCTTCGTCTACCGTGCTCACAGTTGGTTAAGAACGGAAATCGCGAAGTAACAGGCGAAGTGAGAATGGCTTCGGCTTCGCTTGAATGTAACGTTATTAGACATAGGTTTATAAGCTCAAAGTAATTTCTTCGTGTTCAAGTGTCAAACCGTTCCATTATTAATCGTTCAGCCGTTACGACTTGGCGGATAAATATGTTCTTAAAATTATGTTCGATATAGGTAAAGGGATTTAGAGGGCAGAATGCGATAATATATATATATATATATGCATAGATGTATTTAGATATATATATATGTATATAAATATATATATATATGTTTGTGTAATAATCCACTCTGTCTGTCTGACTATCGTAAGTATCACTTGAAGACGATCGGAGTTTGTAGAGACAGACGCAAGTGTCATTACTGAGCTAGGTAGTTTGGCAGATATGAGGAGTTTTGTATATTTGTTTCACGGACAATTCGCAGACGGTTACATCTAAAAGAAATACATACATTCACCATGTATAAAACAAACGGACGGACAAAACCTACTTTCCGAACGGACATATCGTAAGTCGTGGAGCATTCTGTACCCTACATATGATCTCCTTCAGCCGATAGATTGTAATGGGGAAGTCCGAAGTTAGGTCCGACGACCCCTACGCCACCTTTCTGTCAAAAAAAAAAAATGTATTCCATGTTTATATTTTTATATTCATACATTTTTTTGTTTTCTTTTGTTTTATTACAAAGAATATTCTAATATTAGTAAATCTCTCATATTTGACAATAAATTTATTCTGATAAAAATACACATAATTTGGTCTTTGATGCTTGAATTTCCAAAGTGACGTCTAAGCTTGATATTGCTGAACGAAAATTTCTTTAATTTATACGTTTGTTGTGTTCTTTGCTTTACTTACAACTCGCTTATCAAATTTACATGGCAGTGTAAATTAGGAGCTGCTTTAGTAGATTTTTTTCAGATTAAATACAATGTATTGTTATTTAAATACAATGTATTTTTATTTAAATACAATGTACTGTTATTGAATCTCGTTTAACATCCATCAAATAGGGAGAACTACTATTTTTGGGTAATTATGAATAATAGATTTCATTCATTACGCTTAAGAAGTGGCTGCATAGTTTTTATGTTCAAAAGGTAAAATAAAAACTTACATAGTTTTAGCAAAGTCCTTCTTTTTAGCCAACTTATTGTGCATGCATTTTTACATATAACATATATAAGTATAGTTTTTAGAGATCAGGGAATTCATATTTTATTAAAATCTAATGTTGTTTGTGTTCACATATAATTACTCTCTTTTTTAAATATGTATATAAGATTATATTTTTTGGAATCGCTATTGCATATACAATATTTTGCAGCAGAGCACTTTTGTATTTCAAAGACATTATTATTTACATAATTTCTATGATATCAAATATTCGTTACTGGTTCAATTATAATTTCTATGTTTTCCGCCTGACTCTATTTCTAAATAAATGGCTTACCTAATGGTCATATAACTTTGTGGGGCTAAACTTATAAAAACGCAAGAAGTTGCCATTCTTAACGAGGAACACATTTGCCATTAAGTATCCCAGTTATTTCAGAAGATTGGAACATTTAGATTAGTTTATGGATATATGGCTTTTATTTACCCAAAGATTGCGTCTCAATCGTCAGATTAGGCTCTTCATTTAATGAAGTCAAATCGACGCTTGGCTTTTTAAACGGAGATCTAAAAAGTTTCACCCCCCATACGTAACAAAGAGATTATACCTGAGTGAGACCAATATTTGAATACGCCTTGGTCATATATTATCGTTTTTATAGCTGTTACGTTGATTCACTTTATAAAAGTGGATTGCTTTTCTTAACCTATCTTTAGCAGTGCTTCGTTCTTAGTTAAGTTAATAAATATTGCTACACACAGCCTACAGTTTGAGAAAAGATTAAATTCAATGTACGCAGCCGTTTTTCTAGAAAATTTATTTTCATAACACTTAGTCAGTGTAGATGTAATTACGAACTTTTCATTACGTTCAGGATGTTTTGCAAAAGCCTAAATGATATATGTAATTTTCTCTTTTTAAATACTATCAAATCAAGTCTCCCTAATTTGTGTGTTTTGACTACGACAGATGTACATTAACCTCCAATATTATAATCTTCGTATGAGTCACAACTAATTACGTTCACTTCTTTTTTGGTTGGTTTGGTTTGCAAGTTTGCATCGGTTTAGTGGTTCACCCCTAGCTTGGCTCTATACAGGCTGCGAGTGTGACGCTTAACTAAAAGCGTACATTTTTTTTCGTGACATTTTGTTTTTGTTTTCCTTTTTTTTATTCTTTATTTATACACGACTTTTATATTTCTTATTTCTTTATTATGCCCACCAGCTGATGAAGGTATAAGGCTTTCGCCACAATGTTTGAAACACCAAAAGGAAGTTTCAGAAAAGGATATGGACTTTAAATTTTGTCGAAATATTGGAAGTTGATATTGAAGATAGAACAAATTGGTCACAGTACACATCCGCAATAAAGCAAAACGTGAACGCAACTTCGTTGTGGGCTTTTTAGTAATTGCTCACAAATTATGAACACTGAAATTTTATAGATTTACTTTACGGAAAACTTTAATATGTATGTGCAAAAATGGAAAAAATCGGCCATGCCCACACAAGCTTACAAGTGATTAAATTTTCCTTCTTTTTGAAACCTTTGAGGTTTTATGCGCGTTAATCATAAGGCACAATGTTTAAAATTATTTTATTAGTAATAACTTGTAGTACGAATGTTGAATGAAATGAAATGTGG